TGGAGTGGGAAGGATCAGCACCCAGTACGAAAGCTTTACTTGGGGTGCAATGTTGTCACTTCTTTCAGGGTTTGGGTCCTTCTTTGGCCATGGGCTCCCATGAGCACATTACTTGGTATTTTCCAAAGTGGGAGTCTTGCAATATCCTGCTATGGAGACTCTCACCCAGACTCTAGTTCTCTGACCCAACTCCCTTAGGTGTGGAGTAGGGTACCTAGTAGTGGTGGCTGCTCACCAAATCTGTGGGTATCCTGGCCCTTGTGTGCCAGAGAGGATGAGACATGTGTAACTCAGTCTCCACTGAGATGACCTGCAGGAAAGAAGAGTATTTCTATTTTCTTCCCATTCATAAAACGTGTCATCATTCCTCACCAGAAAGCTATGCCAGAGCAGGAAAGAATTATCTTTTGTCTTTCGTTTTACAAAGCTTCTTCAACAGTATTTTTATGGGTTTAGTTCCCCTTCAGTCCCCTTTCCTCTATAATTGATCATTTCTCTTATTTACTGCTTGTAGCTTCTGAATGTTGGTCTTCTTCATCTCTTCAGCCCAACTCTCTTCTCTACCCATGGCAACTTCATCTGTGGCCCATCTGCATTTATTATTAACATTTGCCAGTGATGTCCAGTTATTTATAGCTTCAGTCCAAACCTTATCTCTGAGTCCTGGACCCATGGGTGTAACTTCCCAGCAGCATAACTTCTCAGAAATCTTCCAGGGATTTTGTTCAGCAGATCTAAATGCATGACCTTCAGTTCTCCTCAACCTTATCAAACTGCAAGAGTCACAATTAATTAAAAATTCTTGATATTCTTTCCTAGCCTCTGTATCCACACCATCTCCAAATCCTATTATTAAACTTGGGCACCTTCTCATCCAATTCTTCTCCTGTCTCTAATACCTATTCAGAATGCCATAGTGTTCCTGTAAGTTGACATGACCCTTTCTACCTGCCATTCTTACATCTGTTCTTGAGTGTCCAAATTTTTTTTAAGTGAACACCCATGTACCCATTTTCTACATTCTTCCATCAATTTGGTACTATGTTTGTTTTGTTACTCATCTATCCAACCACCTATCCATCTTAATTTTATTTATTAATTTCTTGTGATTTGGGTGAAAGTTTACAGAGAATATTCATTTCCCATTTAACAATTCAAACATATTTTGTTTTATGGCATTGATTTTAATCCCCATAATGTAACAGCTCTCTTCCCACTTCCTCCCTATGGTTACCTTTTCCCTGTGCCCTTCTTTCCTATGCATTCCTGCCTTCTGAACTATCTCCCTGGGAAAATGCTGCCCTTCTGATATCCCATGGTTGACTATTCTAAGGAGTGTACCTACCTGGTATAAATGTTCACTTTATAGGTCTGTCCATTGTCTGGCTGGCAGTCATTGGGAGTGAGTTCAATTCCAGGGCCAAAGGGTGACTACATGCCCTAGTCTTAGGGATTTTATCAGTCTCTATAAGATCAGTAAACCTTGTCTTTTTTATGATTTTGATTTTTGTTGCACTTCTTTCTCATATTCTATCCAGGATCTCCTATTTTTGATCCGTCTCTGAGTGGTTGGTTGACATTTGTTGCCGGGCACCATCTAGTTCTGGTTTCAGGGCCATGTAGGCTGAGGTTCACATTGTCCGCTAGTCCCTTGGACTAATTGTTTCCATGTGTCTTTACTTTTCTTCATTCTTCTTTTCTCCGGACAAGGAGATAACAATTGTTGCATCTTAGATGGCCACTCATAAGCTTTTAAGACCCCAGGTGACTGCTCATCAAAGTAGGATGTAGAACAATGTTTTTGTGTAGTATATTACGCCAATTGAGCTTGATATCCCACATGACCATGGTTCTGAGCCCGTGAGCCCAGCGACTCATTCTCTCAATGTGTTTGGCTGTGGCTAAGAAGTTATCATAGCTTTGCCCCATAGTTGTTGTTCTTTTAGGTGCTGCTAAATTGGCTCTGACTCTTAGCAATCCTATATGCAGCAGAATGAAACACTGCCTGATGGTGTGCCAGCCTCACAATCCTTGCTATACCTGAGCCTATTGTTGCAGCCACTGTGTCAATCCATCTGTTGAGGGTATTCCCCTTTTTTTGCTGACCCTCCACTTCATCAAGCATGACATCCTTCTCCAGGGAATGGTCCCTTCTGACAATGTGACCAAAGTAGGTGAGACAAAGTCTGGCCATTCTTGTTTCCAAGAAGTATTCTGGCTGCACTTCTTCCAGGACAGATTTGTTAGTTCTTCTGGTGATCCATGGTACTTTCAGTATTCTTCACCAGCACCACAACTCAAAAGCATCAACTCTGTTTTGGTCTTCCTTATTCATTGTCCATTGAAATGCTTTGGCTTGGGTTAGATGCACCTTAGCCTTCAAAGGGGAGCTCTGGTAGCATAGTGCCTAAGGCATTTGACTGCTTACCAGAAAGCTAGCAGTTCAAACCCACCAGCTACTCCTTGGAAGGAAGATTGGGCAATCTACTTCCTTAGAGATACTGCCTTGGAAACTCAAAGAGGGGTCACTATGAGTCGAATCGACTCAATAGCAATGAGTTTGGGTTTATTTTTTTGGTTTGGTCTTCAAAGAGACATCTTTGCTCTTCAGCAATTTAAAGAGGTCATTTGCAGCACATTTGCCCAGTGGAATACAACGTCTGAGTTCTTGACTGATGCTTCCATGAGTGTTGATTGTGGATCCAAGTGAAATGAAATCTTTGACAACTTCAATCTTTTCTCCATTTATCATGATGCTACTTAGTGGTCTAGTTGTATTTTCATTTTCTTTATGTTGAAGTGTAATCCATACTGCAGACTGTAGTCTTTAATATTCATCAGTAAGTGTTTCAAGTCCTCTTCACTTTCAGCAAGCAAGGTTGGGTCATCTGCATATTAGTTTGTTAATGAGTCTTCCTCCAATTCTGATGTTGTGTTCTTCTTCATATAGTCCACCTTCTCAGGCCATTTGCTCAGCATACAGGTTGAATGGCTTAGGGGTAGGCCTGTGGACAGCACCCTGTTCAGCTATATGGCTGCAGGGTGAGCTACACATTCCCCAGATGCTGGTTTAACCTCATGAACTTCTTGTTATGCAGTGTGTCCTCCTGGCCCCATTACAGTTCCTGATATCATGTGGCCTTATGGGGGTGAGGACAAAGATTCTCTTCTCTGGCTGCCTCACTCAGGTGAATCGCATCACATGGGTCATTGTGGTCTTCCTTTCTGTAGCTCCTCACCACCATGTTGCCTCCACCCTTTGTACCACAGCCATTGAAACCAGAAGGTTGGTTCTGGCCTTTATTACTGTGCTAAGCCTATGGATGAACCAATTCAGCCTGTACAGGAGCTGGCATGCCCTTCAACATCACGATTTATTTCTTCCATGGGTAGCCCTCTTTTCAAATTGTGGTGTCAGGGCAGAGGTGGGAAATAGTCTGGAAGTTTTTCAATATGTTACTGTTGACTCAATTGAGTTAGCATTTGACCCTATAACCCCTCTCTAGGATTATACTTAAGAAAAATGAATACAAAAACTTGCACACTAATGGTCTTAGTAGATTATTTATAATAGTTAGAAAGATGAAAAAGTCCACTTGATGGATGGATAAAACAAATGTGGTTCATCCATACAATGGAATATTATTTGACCATAAAAAGTAATTAAGTTCAAAAATATGTTATGGGATAGATAAACTTTGAACATATTAGGTTGAGTGAGAGAAGTCAGACACAAAAGATCATGTATTGTATGATTCAATACATGATGTATGAAATCTCCAGAACAGGCAAAACCTTAGACACACAATGTGAACTACTGGTTGCTTAGGTAGGGGATAGAAGGGATGGAAGATGATATCTAAGGGGAGAGGCTTTTTTTGATATTAAAATTAATTCTGGTGATGGTTGTGTAACTTTAAATATGCCTAAAAACTATTGAATTGACTGTACATTTTAGATGAGTCAGTTGGACGATGT